CTAATAACAAATCACGATAACTTCTTATTCATTTAGTATCTTCAAAAAATCATTTAATCAAGAGGATTATATTAGAATCTTTTGATTTATCAATAACTCAACCTATTTAGTTTTTTAAAAGTTGTAAACTCAATTTTTCATGATATCAAAAGAAATTTAACTATTTATCTTTAATAATAAACCAAACTTTATCCTCAATATCAAATCATTCGTTCTCCCGCTCTGATGGGCATCCAACCATATGTAGACCGAAATATGCGTGAGAACTTGGAAAATATAAGTACAAAATAAATTTAAAATTAATTGCAAAAATCTTATTGATATAACTAACACAATATTCCAATAGAGTTGATATCTCATCATTAATAACAAATCCCTCTTATTATTTGGTGACGAGTCATACCAAAAATTATCTATTCAAGAAGTTAAAAATTATTATGCTTTGATTTTATCAATACCGAACCATCTTTTTTAAAAAATTCATATTGTGATTCACAATATCATAACAAATTTTATATAAATTAATAGAATATAAAGAAAATTTAAAATATTTATAACATATGTTATTATATGTTATAAGGTAAAATAAAATAATATTCACGTAATTAAAAAATAATAATTTTTAACCTTCAAAATAATATATTTTACAACCCTTTCAATCAGTGTTGGTTGGTTCTAATAATTGACACAATTTATTAAACTTAGTATAGATTAATTAGAAATCGACATAATATGTTGAAATAATGTATGTGTAAGAAAAGAGAGAGAGAAATACTTTGGTAGTAATATTTATTGATAGTGTTTGAATATGTTAAATGGGATTGGTTCCAATGCATCCGCTTATTTAAAGTGAGAACGTGAGACTCATTCCTAGCCACAAGATTTGGATCTTGATTTAAATAATAATTATTTATTTTTATTAGTTAATTCTTTATTTTTAATTATTTAAATATTATTATGACCATTGACCGTTGACTCCGGCGTTGACCGTTGACTTCCGGTGAGAATGGTTGACTTCCAACGTTGACCGTTGACTTCCGGCGTTGACCGTTGACCGTTTGATCTTTTGTTGCTAGGTTATTTCTTTCTTGCTGCTAGGTTAGTTGTCTTTTGTTGCTAGGTTATTTATTTCTTGCTGCTAGGTTAGTTGTCAACAGGTTAACGCCACAGTAAATCCGAAAGTAAACGATTTTCACCAGAAGTCAACTATTTTCGGCGGAAGTCAACGTCGGAAGTTAACGGTCAACGCCGGAGTCAACTAATAATTATTTTATTATTTTATTAATGTATATTTTAATTGATTTTGATCTAGACAAAATGAGTGGCTAAGATTGAGTCTCACGTACTTATTTTAAGGAGTTGTCTCATTGGATCCGTCCCCTATGTTAAATATTCATCATCCTTAATTATAAACAGAAATTTTAAAATGACACACATTTTATAACGAGTGAAATAAACATATAAAGCATATATTAAATTATTATTATATATCATAAAATAAGAGGAAAAATATTAATATTAATAATCAAAATTATTTTTATATTAACTAATGTTTCATTTCTTTAATACATGCATTTTATAGTTATTGCTATGTAGATTATGGGGTACGTACTAGTTAGCTCTCAAATAGAATNTTTGTTTATCTTCTTATAAGACAAAAATAAAAGTTATACTAATTAGTACTTTTACCTTACAAAAGAAAACAAAAAATAAAAAATTCACATCTATATATATATAATAAGAATTAACATTTTCAAAAATAGTAAGCAAAAAAATAGGGAATATTAATTGCATTCCATTTTTGGTATGTTTTTTTATTTTTTTAATAAAAAAACAAGTAGCATTTAATGCTAGAATAAATCATGGGATTTGTTATATAGATGCATATTTAAATTTCAAACTTCAAACAAAACATGCCTAAATGTATTTTGAATTTTTTAAGGGAAAAGTTTAGCAAACACGTTTAAGATTACATACAATACATATTTTTATACGTTAGCTTAACATATAGGTTAATTAGTTTCATATTTAAACAATATATAAACAAATATAACAATTTTTCGTACAATACAGATAAATATATTAACAATATATTTAGGGAAAGACTAAGGTCCCGTTACGGTACCATCCCGTCAAGTGTTTTAACCGTTGGATTATCTATCTTATACAAACTACATGTGATCCAACGGATAAAACACTTGACGGGATGGTACCGTAACGGGACCTTAGCATTTCCCATATATTTATATACAAATATAATAAACAATACAAACAAATATAATAACTTGTCACGTGTATATTTCGTACAATGCATATATTTATATATATTATCTTAACATATAAGTTAATTAGTTTCATATCTAAACAATATATATTTTAGGAACCTAAAGATCCATAACATTACTGACGTCATGTATATTTATAATATATTGTCACGTACATTTTACTATAATTGGTAACTTTTTTATTGTCATGTACATTTTACTATAATTGGTAACTTTTTTAAAATTATTTGAATAACTGGAGGTTGATTTATAATTTAAATTTCAAATTCATTCAAACATTTAAAGGAAAATATGATAAGCAGATTTTTTTGATACATTTCATTTTATCTCAGCTTACATATAATCACATTCCTACCAAACATTAAATTTGCTTATATCTTTTTAAATTAATTACATCAATAAATAATATTAATATACACTACATATTTATCATTATATAACAAATGTATTACTTCTACAAGTGTTATAAATAATAATGACATTATATGATAATAGATTTTTTGATAGATTAATAATTGAGTATTATGATGAACCAAAATATGTAAAATTATTATTATTTTATATTACAAAATAAATATATATGTTAAAATATTATTTATAATAATATAAACGGGTCAGCATGCTAATATATTGTGAAAACAAAATTTTTTAAAAAAAAGTTTTAAAGTACGGAAACCCCGTGCATCGCACGGGATTCTCACTAGTTTCTAATAAAGTATCTTCATTTCTGCAGTTCGTCTTATTTGTATTAAATATTTAAAAGAATTATTTTACACTTCGACTTCTTTATATATGCATTTAGCTAGAAGTGTAACTTTAGTCGAGTCGAATCGTGTCGGGTTGAATAACTCATGTTTATATTTGTGCCCGTTTGATAAATGAGCCAGTTCAACCACACCTATATGATAAATAAAAAATGTGAGTATGAGCTCAGCTCATTTTGCTCAACTAGACTCATTTACAAAACTCAAAGCTCTAAACCAAAACTTAATTCAGTTGTTTGTAAACATCTTTGATTAATTTTTTCAACTCAATTTGTTTAAACATACAAATGAATTTATCTCAAACTTTCACAAGTTAAATCGAGTTGCATCCAATTCAAACAATAGCTTTATGCCTAGTGGCATATGTCAAAAATAAAAATAAAAAATATGTGCTTCTTTGAAAGATAATAACTTTAATATTGTTTTTTTAGTTAGTCTGTACAATAATACTAGTACAGAGCCCGTGCGATGCACGGGGTGCACAATTTTAAGGTTATTTATTCAGGTTTATAATTATATAAATGAATAAAGAAAAATATACGGGATATGTATAGTACGTGACCAGTGCGAAGCACGAGATATATTTATTTGGAGAATATTATATTATAAGATGTAATATTCAATAAAAGTTTATAATACGCAAGAAATTGTACAATTTTCAATAAAAGTTTTATAATATTCAAGTGGAGTCTTAAAGTCTCTTGTACATTAAGACTACTGACAAAATAATATTTTAATCAATGAGTTTCTTTTCCTTGTAGCCAAATTGTGAATGTGATTTGAGGAGTACAACAAATCGATATATAGCTGACTTGCTTTTTCAATTGAAGTTTTTTTTTTCTTTTTTTTTTTTTTATAATGAATTTAAAGATATTCTAAAATATAGCAAAAATTTATTTTTTTTTTTTATTACAATTAGAAATTTTACTAAATATAAACTCTCAACCTATGGTGTTAATCAACGTTTAAGTCTAAAAAATTAGGAATTTTTACCTCTTTTAATCAACGTTTAAGTCTAAAAAACAATAGAGTTATTATAAGTTTTTTTTCTACATCTTTTAAAACATTAAATATGAGCATGTTAGGGCTAGCTTGTAAAATAATTAATATATTATCTCACTAAAACATTTATACTAATAAAAATTTAATTTTAGCATATAAATTTATCCCTTGATATAAGAGAAAGTAACAGTTTTACTTATTGTTGTTCACCATATAATATTTAATTATTATTTTATTATATAATAAAAAAAGAATATTGTTAAATAGTGTAGTAGAATTATTATAAAATTATATGAATTTTTTTTTTTTACAATATGGATTTAATATTTTTTTTTATGATTTGATAATATAAACAAATCTATACTTAACTTTGACAAATAAAACAAATAAATACTTTAGTAAGTATTTAATGTACATACTAAATAGGAATGTATTTGGTATAATCAAATACCAAATATAATCAAATAAGTCAAAGTGTACATTTTTATTTGGTATTTGATTTTTTTATTATTAAAATCTTTTTATTATACTTACCTTTTTAAAATAAAACAAATAAATAAATCAATTAAATAAATAAAATATTATAATACCAAAATAGTAATGACATTTAATGCAGTTGACTTTTCCGGATAGTAAATGTAGTAAATAGAATATCCTTTTATATAGTATAATACGGAAATAGTAATGCAATAAATGCTGTTGACTTTTTTGGCTACTTAATTTGGTAAATAGTACCCCCTTTAATATAAGTATAGATATCACAAATAATAGATACTTCCAATTTTCCAGATGATTTCCAACTGTTATTCACTGTTTATAAAATTGCCTGGAGGAGGTTCTTCTCTAGTCATATTAACACTCATACAACAAAATGCAGATCAAGAAAAAATTAATCTCATAAAATCATCCAAAAAAAGGGAAAAGACAAAACCCAAAATAAACATCAGATTCATCCCGGAATTATTTGTGATCTATTAGGGAACTCCAATTGCAGCTTTATATGATAATTCGCATCCAAATCAGAAACTTGCCAATCTGTTTGGACAAAAACAGCAAGTCCACGAGCAAAGGCAAAAGAGCCAGTACCACCCACCACACTCAATTCTTCTTTCTCCTTGAAGCCTATATTCTTAGCCTCGATGCTAACACTTCCCGAAAACTCATGCGTGTGAAGTGTAAGATAAATGATATTAAAAGCAGAACGTGCAAAGCTCTCGACCGGAATTATGAAGCCCTGTGCTTTTCCGACCACACGAGAAGTGTTGTGAGGTCCGAGCGTGAGAGTGCGTTGGTAAATCAAAGCCCCGCCAATGTCTGGTGGTGCGGCTGCTGAGCTGTCCACTTGGGGTTGTTGAATGTACAAAGACAGTGATAGTTGAGAGCTATTAATATTATGCTCTTTCTTGTGGGGTATTGGTGAGAATAAAGCTAGGAGAATAACTGCAGTTATGGCCAAAACAACTGCAGTGGAATATATAATCCTGGATAGCATTATTAGTTTTTTTTTAAAAAAAAAAATTTGGGAAAAGAGATTATGAATTGGGTTGTGATCTTTGAAGAATTTCCTTTAATACAATCTGTCTGGGGTGTATTTGGTTTGTATCAACAAGTTCTGGCAACCTAATCCACAATTATTCAGTTATGTTCCTAATCCACATAATAAGATATGTCCTGATGTGAGAATATATGACAATCAGGAAAACGGAAGAAATAGCTGAATAAATTGGTTATTAGTACAAAAAATTCAAGAGTTAACAATGAAAGCTGGAAGAGTTGTTCAAAATGCCGCATTTCAGATATACGGATGCCACAAAATCAGATTCATAACAAAATTACATGAGAAGCTTTTTTCCACTAGTTAACAATGAAAGCTTTATGACATTACACAAGATTCAGAAACAAACGGAGCCATTATTGTCGCATATGAAAGACAGAACAACTTACATAGTATAGGATAGTGCTTATATATAAAGTTTGTGAAACATTAGACAGGTCATAAAGACTGCACAATCCGACCAGATTGTTAATACATAAATCAGAAGCAATAAAAGGCAGAATTTTAACCAAAATCAAAACATAAACATAACACAGCATCACTTACATTAAGTGAGTCAGACCCTGATGTCAGTACCAGTTCTGAAATGCAGCATAATTTTCTAATTGGCAGAAATTGCAAAAAATACTTTGGAAGGGTGCACTCACACAACCAAATCCCTCGACTGTCCTTATATATACTGAAGTAATGTAAATGCCCTTGAGACTGGACATTTAAGAAAACAAATTTATCTATGGAGATTACTCAGGGAACAAAAACCTTTCCTGCAAAGCACCAAACTAAATTCACCATTAAAGCACAATTTCAGCAAGCCATGTAACTTTTTCTTTGTCATTTCATTTGTGACAGACATCAGGACCTAACTGCCATTTGAAGTAAATCGCATCAATCTAACTATCTTAATGGGAAATTTTGAAATAAGAAATACCCGTAATGATTGATTGAATTATCAAAGACAGCGCCTCTTTAGGAATTCACCCCATGGATCAATTAATTTAATGCCCTCAAGAAATGGTATGAGAAATTAGGTTCAATTTACCTGTCAGACCATTTCGCTCATTTCTTTCAATCTGGTGGCAAGCTTCATATACAAACTGAGACATCTATGTATTAGGCCAATAACCATCGTCACTCCAATTTCCGATGTAAATTAAGAAGTGATGCATGGAATTTCTAGCAAAATTTCAAAAATAATACACCAAGTTGGGCATTGTTAACGTACAAGTCATTATGTTGTCCATCTGAATAAAATGCTGACGTTGACAGATCAGGTAACGACGTGACATTTAAACTTTCATTAATTTCCTACGTTATATTTACGTGGATGCAAATGTTGACCGAGGGGATAAATTTGGGGAAAATCGCAAAATCATTCGATCCCTATTTCCTTTCAATTGGGAAAAATTCTAGAATTTTCTCTACATTAATTTCGACCTCAATCATTCACGTAATGAAGAAAAAACTGACCTAGATTACTTTCCAACTCAATCACTCATATCAATTTCAAGCTCAATCAATCAACCACTCATAAAAAAGAAGAAGCTTGTTCAAAATTTTAATCCCATTTTTAAGGTAGAAGAGACCTTCGTGTTCCAAACTGCGAGATTCAAATACGCCCTAGAGACAAAGGTTACCTTCCAACTCCAAGATATAGTATGTTAAATAATGATTTTCTTTTTCTTCTTCCAATGACTTTTATGGTTGTTTATTTTTTTTTTTTCTTGGGAAGAGTCGGTATTTGGCAGTAACATGGTTGTGTTTGGAATCTTGGACCACTTTTATTGAATTTCATGTATTGTTTACTTTTAAACTCTAGAGTATTGTCCCGGATATTTCTTCATTGCATATTTTTATTGTTACTGCAGGTACAACTAGTAAATTCTTTACCGTTATCCTAGAATTTGGGGTTACTTTTGATAGAGGGACAAAACATTCTGCATATCTAGGTGTAAGTAGAATATTGTTTGACTATGTGGATTATCTAATGGCCACACTTGCTCACTTTAAATTTGTGGCAGAGTTTAAAGGGTGCATAAATTCGATGAGACTGCACACTTATGTTGATGGTGAGAGTTTCATTTTACTTTCAACAGAGAGTGATCTTCAGAGTTTGTGGCAAAGAAAAATCAACAGCATTACGGAGGTTAGTTTGTTTGTTGAAGAATGAAGTTAAAATATTGAAATCGTTATTGCAAATAAAGTTGAAAAGGAGGTTGATGAAGAAGATGGTGATGAGACTTTTGAGTGAGAGTATGATAGTGAAGTTGGTAAGTTCGATGACATCTTATTTGATGAAAATGTGGATTCTAAGGCTGATTGTAAGGTTGGTAGTGAGGATGAGGTTAAGGTTGAGGGTGAGGTTGAGGCTGAGGAGGGTGAGGTTGAGGTTGGGACTAAGTTTGAGGCTGAGGCTAAGGTTGGATATGAGGGTGAGGAAAGTGCTGAAGATTTATATGAGATGTGGATGAGGTTGCTGAGTGTATGGCTAATAAGGGTGGGGTTGAGGCTGATGGTGGGGTTGGTGGTGAGAGTGAGGATGATATTTTTGACTAGGAGTATGATATGGAAGCTGACAAGGTAGATGACAAGATGTTTGATGATAATGTGGATTTTGATGTTCAGAGGTTGGGTGGTAAGGGTGAAAGTGTTAAGAAATGTGTAAAAGATGATGGTATATCAGTTGAAAATGAAAGTGATGTGGCATATTGTGATGATTTGCATAGTCATGACAGTTCTGAAGGAAAGAATGCAGGTTATGAATATCATATTTTCAACAGTGCAGAGTTATATGATCATACTTTCAAGGTAGGTTTGGTTTTCAGTACCAAGGTGAAATAATGACAACAATTCAGTCAAATGCAAAAAAAAAAGTGTAAAATTAACAAGAAGAGATAGAAAGCATGTCTATGGTAAATGTGCTGATATTGCTTATACTTGAAAGTTGCATGCAACTAAGATCAATGAAGAGAAGGTTTGGCAAGTGATAAAGTACACTCTCACTCTGATATGGGATATTATATACTAGACCGATTTTAATGGATAAGAAGGAATATATAGGAGAATAATCCTATAAATAGGCTAGGACATGTGGCATGATGGCATTGGTCAAGCCCAAATTGGGCTATAAGGTACACTCCCCCTATAAAAGAGGGCTAAGGTATCTAATTAACACATTCTCTTTACACTCATTACTACACCCTCATTTTTGCACTCTTGATTTGAAGCGAGTGCTGACTTAGGCATTAGAGCCCTGACACCGGGACCACCCCACCCGACATTGGATTCTTGCATGTATGGAGGCCGAGTTGAAGGAGCCTAGGTGAAGTCCATTTTACTAACATTGGCGCCGTTTGTGGGACCCGTTCGAAAAGCCAAAGAATCGACCACGGCAAACGAAGTTCTGATAAAAAAATTTTGAAAATTTTCAAGCAACCTCCTTTGACTCTGTCGGTCGCCACCGTTGGCCGCCAGCCAAAGTGATCCGATCAAAAATTGTTTACATCATCGGGTAGATCTCCTCGAGGTGAATTTCGCCTTAAAATTTAATGCGAAAATTCCTCTGGGAAGGTTTTCGATTTGGCCTGTCAAACTTTGTAGATCTAGTGAATTTTGGTAACTTCTGGCATTCAAATGCATTTTCCCGGGGATCCATGAGGGTTATGAAAAATTCGAGAGCACCACCAGAATCCTCTCGATGAGGCGAATCTCAGCTACCGACCTTCATCGGACGCCGCTGCCTCCACCATCGGTCACCGACCAAATTTCTCCAATCAGAGAAATTTTTACACCACCGCAAAGCTCTTCTCGTGTTCATTCTACTCTTAAATTTTCAAGCAAAAATTCCACCAGGAAAGCCGTTAATTTGGAGGTTAAAGTTTTTGGATCTAAGAGATTTTTAGTCAACCTCCGGTCATCTCTTTCAATTTTCTAGAAATTTTTGGCGAATCACCTCAAACCAATGATACCACTGGATTCTCCTCGCCAGGGCGCACCTTCAGCCGGTAGCCTTTGCCGGAGCCGGCAAGTTTTTTTTCGACGGCATTTTCTAATGAGCTGCCGCTGCTGTTCGCGCATCCCAGCACTTCAGGTACCGGTTCACAAACCCATCGCCCTCCAGCCCAACGAGGATGCCAGCATCCTTAGCGCAACTCACAAGGAAGTCTAGTGAAGGAGTCTAGTGAGGAAGCCCAGCACGACCCATTTGCATGTGGCCCATTTTGTAGCTATTCCAGTGCGCGGGCCGTGCGCGGCCCACGTGGCCCACATTAGCCCGACGTCATCCCGCGAAGAGCTTGCTCTGCTCATAGCGTTTGGGCTCGTGCTCCAGCCTGGGACTCTCACTATTTCGACCCGTGTCCCGCCCGCGATGGCCCATTATCGAGCCCGCATCCGCAACATCCCCATTTGGCCCATTTCTGCGGCCCAACGAAGTGGAATGCGACCAACCAGTTACTAGAGTGGCCCAGACCGGGGTAGCTCGCACTGAACCGGCCCAGCTGGGTCTAATAGCACCGATTCGAGCCAAGACTAATTCGGGACGATACGACGTGGGCGGGGAGGTAAATTTACCTAATGTGGTCGTGGTGAAGGTATGATGTTAATTTAAATTTTGAACTGGAGGATTTTTAAATGGTGAAAATTGGAGAATTATTTGGTTTGTTCGTGGAGAATTATTTGGTTTTTTCGTGGTGAAATTATTGGATTTATTCGTGGAAAATTATGTGATGTATTCGTGGAGAGATTATTTGTAGCGCCCCGTTCGAACTATATAATTTCTCGGATTATTCTATTTATCGAACTTTATTTATGAGATTATATTTGTTGTATTGATCGCGATGTCTACTTAAATAATATATTTAAATACTCTATTGTTTTATTGTAAAACGTTCGTCGTTCGGCGATTTCGGTTTAATCGCGTAAATCGGATCTAACCCATTCGATTATTGGATTTTTTGGATATTATTTTATTGGCATTAGTATTATTATTTGAAATTGATTCGCCTAAGTGATATAACTGTTTGATTTATATGTATATTATAGTGTGATAATATATATATATATATATATATTGCCGGTTG